AATCTATAGTTTTAATAATTGTAAAAGACACCCTCAAAATTTTAGAGTTACAAGAAATATACTAACATTTAAAAAATTACCACCAACACATGAAACATAGAATTTACAACTACCAAACTTAAAAGTAAATTTTTTAAAAAACTCTTTCAAAATTTTAAAAATTAAAAATCACACTCTCAAAGTTCAAAACCACAAAAATGGGCTAAAATTTTAAAACTTGGTAAAGAAAGGTGTAATTGTTTGGTATTTTTCATATATATCTATCTACCCTTTAAAAGAGCCGGTTCCTAAAAAACTTTCCTCTTCCCAAATTAACCTTCAACCAATTTAAATATACCCAATTTCTCCCAGCGATACAGAAAAATCGTCATCAGCATCCTACCTCGGTTACGCCTTCCTCTCCGCCGAAGCCGAAGAGTTCATCGTTTTACCTTCTCCGACGAAGCCGAAGCGTTTGCAAAGATGACTATTATTCATCGGTTACCCTTCTCCGCCGAAGCCGCAGCGTTACAAAGATTTGCAAAGCTCAGTATTTCTTCAGAATTTCCGCATTCATCTCCACAATTTTCAGAATTAGGGTATTCAGGAAGGTATTTCTTCTTCGTCTTCACTCCTCTATACAAAACCCTAACTCTAATCGTTAGTTTTGCTCAATTCACCCTATCCCCTTTTAGTTCTTCAGTCCTTTAATTTTGTTATATAATTTTGCCCTAATTTTTGAATTCCTACAGTTTCAAGCGACAAGGGTTTAAATATTCCAACAGCAGCTGTATCGGTTGTTATTTCTTTCCTAAATTAGGTATTTCTTGTTATATACCTGCTTTTCATTCAAATTTTACTTAAGTTATTGTTACAATACGCTCATGTTTTAGTTTACAGTCTTTAATTTACAATAGATGCAGTTTGTCTCATATTAAAAGGGTGTTAAATCAAGTTTAATTGCCTGTAACCTATTTTTAATTTTTAATTATTGATCATATGTAAAGTGGAAGTAATAAAATCCAGAGTAAAAATATGAATCAAGGAAAATTTTGGAAAGAGTCTAAGACATGTCTCCTAGAAATGTCTGTCTCCATCCTATTTCCTGTCAACCTCGATATAGAAATGCTCACTCCACGATGCTGGTACAACTAATATATCAAATATATGTACTATATATCCTTTCGTAAATATTTGTTGCATGGATACTTGTTGATGAAGACCCACCCCTATAGGATACGTACACGATATTTGATGAATATGTATTGAGACATCCTAGAATTCATTTATAAATGTTTCAAAGATATAGTGAAGATGTGTCTAAGACTCAGATTGAATAAGTAACTGATGAATTGCCAATTTCATCTCATTTGTAGATACATTCTATTTTAAGTTATTGTATGATTGTAGCACATTTCATAAGAAAGACTTCAATGAATATGATTGCACATGTAAGTTATGTAACTATTGATTTTTATAACTTGAGAACATTTCATAATGTATGATTTATTGTCTTCCTCTAAAAGTTCTAGGTTTGTCAAATCATGCACAAATAATGAATGGTAACACACACCTAGAGACTCATACTTTATTGTGTGGTATCCAGGAGGCATCCTAAATTTTATGGTTTGATATATCCAAGTGCTACATGTCATATCCATGTCATGCACCTATATTGGTGCATACTATTGTATAAGTATCACTGTCTATTATTATTTTGTGCATAAGTATCACTTTCTATGACAGTGATACTAATGTATAAGCATCACTGTCATGCACCTATACTGGTGCATACTGATGTATAAGTATCACTGTCTATGATTCTTTTGTTTGAATAGAGTAAGAATGAGCAGCATGCCTTTTAGATTTAATGTGATAAATCCATAACCGATTGCGCAAAAAAGACTGTTTAAATTTTCACTTTATATGATTTACCTATTTAAAATGTCAGGTGTTTGGGAGACTGAAGGAAAATCGGGGAAGGATTTAGAACCATTTTGGAGTCAATTTAATGTCAGACCACCGGAGCTTACAAATTGTGGACCTGCAATTCTACAAATTAGAGAGACTAGATTTGGGCTCACTTGTATGATAATCAAGGTGAAACATCAATCTTGAAAATTGACATGAATAATTGAGATGGATATAAGATACTGTAATAATGAGGAACAGATTTGACACTTTTCTGCATCCTCCGAAATTTTAGCAACCTAGAATGTATATTACAGATACTTCCAGCAGCCAAAAAAACTGCTTAAGCCAAATTACAAGTGAAGGAAGAACAAAAAATGAGAGATAAGCAGAACTATGAGAACAAGAAAACAACTTAAGAAAGTTATTGGAAGAGATCAACTTAATTCAGTCATCACAAGAAACCTGAAGTAAACAAATGCACAAGTCAACCAACAAATATATTGCATCCATCATAAAAACTGAAAATAGATACCTATACTGCTAATAAAATTGAGAAGGTAAAATGTCTTTTTGTTTAAGTTGAACATAACTTCAAGAATGCTTAATTATTAACTCATAATTAATGATAAAATAGATAAATAAAATTTATGTAAGGACATGTCTTTATATGACTTTGCACTCTTAAAGTCACTTTCTTAATTAATATGCAAGGTAATAGAAGAGGTAGTCACATATATACATTAAATAGTTTCAGGCGGGTGAATCATGATTTGCAAACTTTTGAATCTGGTGTTTTCTTTCAGTATTCAAGCTAAATGTGAGCAATTAAGTTAATCTCTATAATTTACAAGGTCTATAACACTTTCTGGGCAATTGTAGGTTAGTGGCATGAAAAGCACCAAGGTCTGACTTTTATAAGAGTAAAGTTTCATTTACCCCTGCACTGGTCCTTCGGTTGAATACCCAGCCTATTAAGTTTGAATGTCTTACAAGCTTAGATGCATCACTGAAGTTCAGTTGCCACTACCATCCTTTCAGTCTAATCCAGGAAAAGCTTATTTGCAGCAACACACATGAACTAAATAGACAAGCTCTAAAAGGGAAGAACCACTGGATAAATTGCATATATGAAACGTCGCCAAACTTTTTCTAATTGATAATGAACAACTTATGATAGGAGAGAACAACCACAAACAATGAGTATACACATGACACTTTCTTCTATTTCTACCTTTTGATTGACGACAAACACAGGCACTCAAACATAGAGAAGTAAAATGCATGTATGTGGTTTAACGAGAGAGTTTTTATTGTTCAGTATCTAAAAGGAGCATGACCAGTGTGATAGTTTGTTGTTAAGCAGGATCTGTTTGTGCGTAAGACCTTTTTCCATGTTTCATTTGAAACACCTATCAAGGTGTGTGTATTGACGGCAGCATAATGATGTTTCATTTGTTTTGCACTTAACTATTTTATCAAAGGTGAAATTATGTAGTTTATTAAACTGCATGCAAGTTTTTCTTAAAAAAATTTGTCTCTTTTTGCTATTATCTTTGTTCTTTTTGGTGTATAATAACTAATGCTTTAATGTACATGCTTTAGGTCCAAAAGGACCGTGACATTAATTCCTTTGTAAAGCAGCAACAAAAATAAGCTTTAGTTTATTAATAGCTCCTAAATTTAGAAACTTAAGCACATAACAACTAATGCTTTAATGTATTGTCTGACAATTTGTTAAAACATTATGTATAAGTTTATCTGTTAGAAAAATATTTTGCCTGGGTCGTTTGTTTAATTTATTTATTTTGAACTTCGTACATATTATCCAAAACCACACGAGTTATGGCATGTAGTATTTCATTTTCCCTGTCAAACAATATTGTTTTCCTTTTCTTCATCTATTGTTTACATTTTCCTTTAAGTTTCTATTTAGGTATTTTTCATCATTTCTTCACTTTTTTTAATAATTAATCTCATCTCAAGCCTTTAGTAACTATGTTTTGAAAAATTTCAAAGCCAACATTTCTGCAAACTTCGTGCAATTTAACCTTATATGCAATGCTTGAACATGTTAGTTAATTAGTCAAACAAATCTATTGTTATCAAAGACACAATAAGTTCTTGTCTGGTTCCTTGTCGGCTATGAAATGCACCAAGTACATCCCAGTATATCTTATAAGAGAATATGTTTTCGTGACTTAACTTCTTTCTGTTGAATTTGATTCTAAACCATCATGTGCTCCCATTTCTTCAATTATACTGAGTCATTATATCTATTGTTGTGAAGTAGCTTCATATCTATACTGAGCCATTATGTGCTCCCATTATTTCTGTTTTTTCTACAAATTCTGTTTTTTTTCAAATGGAAATGGGTTAGTTTTTGTTTTTTCTACAAATTTTGTACATTCACACATAGCGTGCACAAGAAATATATTCCTCATTAATAGTATTTTGGTGAATTTCTAATAAGCCTCCTATGTTTAGTATCATCTTTTTAAAACATTGAGTGAAATGATGTGCACTTTTATAATACACTTTTACGTCTAGATTAAATAATTTAACATTTTTTCATATTAATGCAGATATTCTACTTGGTTGAATTTGTCTTATTTTTTTTAAAACATTTCTGAAGTTGTCGGTGATTCAGGTTAGTTAATCAACTTTCTTCTCTTTTCTCTTTATTTTGTTCATAATGATGGTAACTCTATTTCCTTGTATTTATCTTCTTCTACACTTAAATATTTATTATTATTATTATTATTATTATTATTATTATTATTATTATTATTATTATATGACTTAAAAAAACTTAATTAACCTTAGCATATGAGATATTTGTGATTACTGATGCATGTATAGTGTACCAATTTTCTCAAAATAAACCTTAAGTACTATTGAACATCAATTAAAATATACTTATTCTCTCAAATTATATTCACTACTATACTTATGTTTAACAAAATTAATAAATTAACACATTAATTTTTTTCCCCTTGTAGAAATTTACATTCTACTTCTTGGATTGCATAATCACTATACATTTGCATAAGAGTACCTTCTTCCAAATGACTTCAAACCAATGTTTGAATTCAACATAAATATATATTATTATTGCTTTATGTGTATTTGTGTTTATTAATAGTATATTTCATTATTTTTTAACAGAAGAACACATTCTAATACATGAGAGTAGAAACACCAAATATAATCAGTTGAATGTTAATCAGAAGAGAACTTACATTCAGAAGGTCATTGATAATAATATAAAAAGGAAAAGAAATGATTTTGCTGGCAGTAGTACCAATAGCAAGTTACAGTGGGAAATGCAGAACTTAACCCAGAAGTTCGTTGGAATGATGAAATCAGAAAATATATCCCAATGGCAGGGTGGCACTATTATCGTATCTCAGGTTACAAGTTTTCAACATTATCTCTACAAATTTATAGTAATACTAATATTGCTTGTATCGATATTAGATTATTTATTGCTATATTTTCGCAGATTGAGAATGAATTTAGGCATCTAGAACGGGATCAGGGGGCTCCAGCAAAATCTTATGCATGTTGGGCAGTGAAAATGAAACTCGACCTTGACACTGGGATTCAATGGATCATGTGCAAAGAAGATGTGACGCCCCTGGGTTCACACAAGGCTGCAGTCCAAGGTGAAACCAAGAATGTCAAACCTGCTATGCACCACACCGTGCAATAACATGTTTCACCATCACAATTAACATCTATCTAGTAGAGTCAATAACTGGTGTAGGTACAAAAACAGGTAAAAGATAATACAAGGAATACTGATGAAATGATAATAGTCACATAAATATCTCATCATCCAACAACATAGAAGTACATAGTCAAGATCTGAAGTCTCAAAATACAAATATCTGACAAAAAGGAAATAAGGCACACAGCCTTTACAACTTCTAGAACAAGACTCTCAAATGTCTAAACAAAATCTACTGTGGGACTCCAAAAGAAAATATATCTAAGTAAATAGCTGAAGCTAAAATGCCTCGCCCTCAACCTGCGGCTCTCCGGGCTCCTGGCTCGTTACCTGAAAGGGGGAGGGACAACGAGCGTCAAAGCGCTAGCGAGTAACATCACAACCAACCCCAAGGGAACAGGGCTCGTTGTATAAGAAAATACAGATAATATATAATAGATCTAAAATCATTGATCCTACTAAAGAGGGTTTTAGTACTTAGAAATTTACAACACGAGCATAGGTACGTCGAGCGAAATAATCCAAACAAGGAAACCCTCATGTATATACCTTGTATCTCAAATTGTAGATCTCTAAACACCAAACCCGAAGTTCTAGTACAGAAGACAATAATAAAGGAAATACAGCTAATCTCAGAGCATAAATACAGGGCCATATCATAGCTAACATGAATATCATATCGAGATTTACATAAGTGTTATGACATAAACTCACATGAGTGACATGTCAGAAAACGATTAAGTGTCCAAAACATAAACTATATAAATTAAACGTCCAACTCATGGATTGCGTGAAGTAAACGTCCAACTCATGAACTGAATTTAACCGTTGTCCAACGCATGGACCGGATGTGACCGTTGTCCAACGCATGGACCGGATGGTAATGCATATCCAACACGAGGATTAAATAGCAATGCGTATCCAACACGAGGACTAAGAGGTATGTCCAACACGAGGACAAAAGGGGTAGTGCTTGTCCAACACGAGGACTGAGTTTAACCTAGTTTTTACTCTCAGGTCTTCTATCATGCCTGGGTACATAGTAAGACTAAATACCAACGTCAGATAGTCCAGCCAAACTCTCAAACATGGGTAAAACACTCAAAAATACCCAGAACAGGAAAATCACATCAGACAGTGTGGCGGTCGACCGTACCGGTCGACCGCACGCTGACACGCATCTGGCGGTCGACCGGAAGAACGTCGCGGTCGACCGAAATAATTTGCGGTCGACCGAAATAACGTCGCGGTCGACCGAAATACTCTGCAGTCGACCGAAGCCTCAAAACGAGCTCAGCGGTCGACCGCGTCGGTCGACCGCTGAGCGGACAGAAACCCAAATCTGGGTTTCTGTCAGCTCGAAACCTGATATAAAATTCGCAAAATTTCTACGATAACAAAAATTCTAAGGTTTTAAAATCATACTGAACATAAACAACAAATCTCAGGCTTGAAATCTACACTTCCAGTATTATAAAAACATGAGAAACAATTTCCAAATCGTTTAAATGACAGTAAAATGATTTAGTTCTTGTTTAGGCAAATTTCAGATCTAGATCTTCATTTAACAGGTATTGGGTAAGTTTTTATAAACTAAAACCTCTGATTTTTTTTTATTATCCATACCATAGAGAATTCATTTTTTTTATACAAAAATACTATTTTGGCTCATCCAAAACTCATAAATCCAAAATAAAATCAGGGAAAACAGGGGTGAGGGATTGGGCGAGATGATACTCGCCTTGGGTGTTTACAAAAGCCCTAGATCTGCAGGAGGTTGATCCCCCACGCTGCTAATCCAAAATCTTGCTGAAAAATCCTCCAGATCTCCTCCTAAGCACCAAAACCAGCTAGGGTTTGAGATTTGAGAGTTGGGGGCTAGGGTTTTACGTTAGAGCTGAAGAGAGGCTCTCCTGGGTTGAGTTGGTATATATACTAACTCTTTAACCCGACCCGAAACCAAAAGACCCGAAACAGAAACCGCAAAGAACAACAAAACCTGAAAACTCTCTTGTGGCTGATCGGTCGACAGGCCACCGGTCGACCGCCACCGGCTCGACCGCGTCGGTCGACCGTTTTCAGCACAAAAATGCTTCTGTTCGGCTTTTCACATGATGATCTTATACCACTCGATTTCTCTCACTTGTATACACCTGCTGGGTCCCAAACACTGATAAATATATACATTGATATATATACATGATTATTCCTCATAAGAGAATTATTCACTATTAATAATTCACATATATTTATTATAAAATTTTCGGGGTTTTACATTCTTCCCCCTTAAAAGAATTCGTCCTCGAAATTCGGAAATTATACGAATCTCAAAATATGAACTTCCAGATGAACATATAGAAATATTTATACCTAACGATCTAAAATGTAATATTCCCGCTCGAACCCTAATCTAGTGGAACTAGTACATCGGTGAAAAATCCAAACAAGGAACCCCCCATATATATACCATGTGTTCCAAAAAGATTAAGATTAAGTAGAAATATTCACATTCTAGTGTTAAATGTAAATATAACCAAGATGTAAACATAATATAAAACACATATCAATAAAAAATTAATTTACCTGTTCAAACAGGTTGTGGGTAGTCGCGACGCCATGTCCTCATCGTGCTCCCAAGAAACTCCTCAACTCCTTTCTGGTTCCACTGAATTTTGACCAAGGAAATAAAATATCCTGTTTTTAAACTGCTTGTCTTCTCTAACAAGTATATAAACTGGGATTTCAATCATAGTCAAATCATCCTGAAGTTAAATCTCCGATGCGTTCAACGCTCAATCTGCTCTTCATCATGTAATTGTTTCTTGAACATTGAAACATGAAACGCTTTATGTACTCTGGACAATCGACGATGCCTGAAGTTTAGTCCATATTCAAACAACTCAATAAGCTCTAAAATCCGGAACGGTCCAATATATCTCAGCTCAAGCTTTCTCCGCCTTCCGAATCGCTGAACGTCTTTTATAGACGATACTTTCAGCATAACTAACTCTTCAAATCTGAAACTCTAAATGTCCTCATTTCTTATCTGCATAGCTCTTTTGCTGACTCTGAGCGGCTAGAACCTGTTCTCTGATTTATGTTACTTTCTCAGTAATCTATCTTATAAGCTCTGGCCCAAGCATTAAAATATCCTCCTGCTCTACCCAATATATAGGCGATCTGCAAGGCCTCCCGTACGATGCTTCATACGGGGCCACACCAATTATCACTTGATAACTGTTGTCATAAGCGAACTCTATCAGTGGAATATGATTCCTTCCATCTACCTTGAAAGTCAATGACATAAGCCCGCAACATGTCCTCCAACATCTGATTTACTCTCTCCGTCTGACCATCCGTCTGTGGGTAAAATACACTACTGTAAGATGAATATACTGCCAAGTGAATCTTGGATTCTTCCACAAGTGAGGAGTGAATACTGAACCTCGATCCGATACCATCGTGTCTGGGACTCCATGAAGTCAAACTATCTACCAAACAAATATCCTCGCATATGCCTCGGCGGTATAAGTAGTCATTACTGGAATGAAATATGCTGCTTCATTAGTATATCCATTATCATCCAACCAGAATCATTTTCTTTCTTCGACTTCTGCAACCCTACAATAAGGTTCATAAAAAGGTCCGCCCACTTCTATTTCGAAACGGGGAAAGATTGAAGTGTTCCTACCGGTCCCTAATGTTCCACCTTCACTTACTGACCGGTAAGACACTTAGCTATATACTCTGAAATCTTCCTATGCATATCACTTCACCAAACGTGTCTCTTTAGGTCTTTGTACATCTTAATTATTCCTGGATGTACAGAATCACGAATTCATAGTTCTCAATAAACTCAATCCACCGTCGCTGCCTCTGGTTGAGTTCCTTCTGGGAGAAAAGATACTTCAAACTCTGGTGGTCGATGAACAACTCAAATTGCACTCCATATAAGTAATGCCTCGTGACTTCAGTACAAATATCACTACTGCTAACACCAAATCATGAGTGGGGTAGTTCTGCTCGTGCACCCTAAATTGTCATGAGGTATATGCTTCTACCCTCTGAGTCTGCATCAAGATACCCCCTAAACTTGCCAATGATGCATCTGTGTAAACAACGTACGTCCTGTCACTGCTCGAAATAGTCAAAACCGGCGCTGTAGCCAACTTAGTCTTTAAAGTATCAAAGGCCTTCTGGCATCGTAAGGCATGTAAGTGGCGCCGAAATCTTCAAGAAGTCTAGGATGAACTTCCTGTAATAACCGGCTAACCCAAGAAGCTTCGAATCTCTGTCACCATCTTCGGCGATTCCAAAACAAGAATTGTTGTAAACTTAGCCGGATTCACTGCCATGCCCTCTCTTCTATTGACGTGGCCGGATTCACTTCTGAAAACCAAAACCTGTATTTGCTGAACTTGGCATATAACTGGTGCTCCTGAAGAGTCTGCAATGGTATTCGTGTTCTGCCTCCGATCTCAAGAATATGAGAATATCAAACTGGCCCATGAAGGGAGGGAAAAACCCGGTTCATCACATTCATGAATATCATGAGTGCATTAGTCAACCCGAATGGCCTGACTAGAAAGTGCTCCTGAAGAGTCTGCAATGCTACTCGTGTTCTGCCTCCAATCTCGAAGATATGAGAATATCAAACTGGCCCATGAAGGGAGGGAAAAACCCGGTTCATCACATTCATGAATATCATGAGTGCATTAGTCAACCCGAATGGCCTGACTAGAAACTCTAAAGATTCACATCGAATTAGGAAAAACGGTATTGGGAAAATCCATCTCCCGATTCCACAACTATGATAATAAGAACGAAGATCAAACTTCGAGAAATACTACACTCTCTGCAACTAGTCGAACAAGTCATCGATCCTAGGTAATGAGTACCTATTCCGGATAGTGACCTTGTTCGGCTCTCTATAATAAATGTAAAATCTCATATTACCGTCCTTTTTCTTCACGAAGAGGACCGATGCGCCCCATGGAGAATAAAACCTGAGCTGATAACTCGTCCAACTGGGTCTGAAGCTCCCTCATCTCAGCTGGTGTCATACGATAGGGTGCGCGGGATATCGGGACTGTGCCCAGCTGCAACTCAATATAAATCTCAACCTCTCACACAGGAGGTAACTCAGGTATGTCCTGAAAGACATCCTGATAATCTGAGACAACTCTAGTCTCCAATAAATCAGAACTCTGATCCCGTCACATCCCCTCATCGATGAACGCCAGGAGTGACTCCGCAAAGCGAATGCCCTAAGAAGTGGCCACAATCATCTCAGACCCATTGGATGCTCGCACTCTGACTATCTTCGTAAAAACAGTCAGAACTAATATGGCAGGTTGACAACCAATCCATAACAAGGATAACATTAAACTCGGACACATACAATACTATCAAATCTATAACAAACTCCGACTCACCTAGACTAATAATACACATCCTACAAACGCTCTCCAGAAGCGATACCTCTCCTAAAGGGGTGGAAACAGATAAAGGGTGTCCAGTGGCTGAGCTACAAGCTGGAGTCTAGCCATAAATGCATGTGATATGAAAGAACACGAAGCTCTAGAATCGAAAAGAATACGGGCGAGGAAAAGGATTTATGAGGGACGTACCCTCCATAACTGATCTGCTTGCTCCATTATCATGCGGAACTACTGCATATACTCTGCCGATGGATGAATACTGCTCTGTCACTGGTGCTGGAGGATATGAGACAATCTGCCCCTGGGAAACCTCCTGAACTGCTGGAACCTGTCCTCCAGTCTTTCGCTGCTGCTGAGTTGGACCATTTCCCTTCTGAACTCTTGTTGGTGCACTGCGGCACTCTAATGCCTTGTGTCTGACCTTGCGACAATTAAAACAAGATCCCCGGAATTTGTGCTGCTGCCTTTCTCTATGATCCTGTTGGGATCTCTTCTTATGAGGGCTCTGCTGCTTCTGCTGAGGTCGATATAAGGGTCTCTTGTTCTTACCCTTGTCTCCGATGTGCCCTCTCTCAGCACTCCCTTCATTGTCCTTCTGAAACTTAGCTGTCCCATTTCCTTGAGAAATGGCGGGTTCAGCTATTGGTGGTGGTGGTGGTGCAATACGATTTGCCACAAGCTCCTCGATTGCTGCTATCCTAGCAACTAGGGGAGCCATAAGATCTACCAGGTACTGGGGAGCCTGCTGCGGCTCAGGTGGATTTTGCTGTGGTTCAGCCTGTCCAGATCTCTGAGTACGTGACATATCATATTCTGACATCTCTGCTCAAAAGAAAATAAGAGTTTAGGAGTCAAAATAGACATCTATAAATAGCGTATCACAATACAATTTTCACAACATAGAGTATTTGCACAAATACTTTAGAATACTCAACAAGTCTCAAATACAAATATCTGACGAAAAGGAAATAAGGCACACAGCCTTTACAACTTCTAGAACAAGACTCTCAAATGTCTAAATAAAAATCTACTGTGGAACTCCAAAAGAAAATATAACTAAAGAGACGGCTGAAGCTAAAATGCATCGCCATCAGTCTACGACTCTCCGGGCTCCTGGCTCGTTACCTGAAAGGGGGAGGGACAACGAGCGTCAAAGCGCTAGCGAGTAACATCACAACCAACCCCAAGGGAACAGGGCTCGTTGTATAAGAAAAATACAGTTAATATATAAGAGATCAAAAAAAATCATTGATCTTACTAAAGGGGGTTTTAGTATTTAGAAATTTACAACACGAGCATAGGTACGTCGAGCGAAATAATCCAAACAAGGAAACCCTCATGTATATACCTTACATCTCAAATTGTAAACTCCTAAATACCAAACCCAAGGTTCTAGTGTAGTAATAATAATAAAAGAAATACGACGAACACCAGAGCATGAAAACAGTGTTGTGACATAGCCCACATGAGTATCATGTTATTACTTACATGAATATCATATCGAGATTTACATAAGTGTTATGACATAAACTCACATGAGTGACATGTCAGAAAATGATTAAGTGTCCAAAACATAGACTATATAAATTAAACGTCCAACTCATGGACTGAATATAACCGTTGTCCAACGCATGGACCGGATGTGACCGTTGTCCAACGCATGGACCGGATGGTAATGTATATCCAACACGAGGATTAAATAGCAATGCATGTCCAACACGAGGACTAAGTGGGAAGGGTGTCCAACACGAGGACTAAAAGGTAATGCTTGTCCAACACGAGGACTGTGGATTTTAGTCCAACACGAGGACTGTGAAATGGTGAACATATCACTGGGATACATAGTGAAATCTACCTATATCAATTCACAGTCAAAACAGTGTATATATCCATAATTGGTACCCTCAGGTCTTCTATCATGCCTGGGTACATAGTAAGACCAAATACCAATGTCAGATAGTCCAGGAAATCACTCGAACCTGAACAAATATTCAAAAATGTACAAAATAGGGAAAATACAACAGAGAGTACTGCGGTCGACCGATCCGGTCGACCGAACTCTGGCACGAGCCTGGCGGTCGACCGCTAGGCATCTCGGTCGACCGACCAGACGTCGCGGTCGACTGGATAAATGTCGCGGTCGACCGAACAAACGTCGCGGTCGACCGAAAGAGCTCTGCGGTCGACCGAAATAACATCGCGGTCGACCGAAAGAACGCCGCGGTCGACCGAAATAAATTTGCGGTCGACCGAAGCCTCAAAACGAGCTCAGCGGTCGACCGCGTCGGTCGACCGCCGAGCGGACAGAAACCCAAATCTGGGTTTCTGTCAGCTCGAAACCTGAAACCAAATTAACAAAATTTCTACGATAACAAGTGTTCAAAAGTTTTAAAATCATACTGAAGATAAACAACAATTCTCAGTCTTGAAATCTACACTTCCAATATTCTAAAAACATGAGAAAAATTCCCAAATCGTTTAAATAACAGTAGCAATGGTTTAGTTCTTGTTTAGGCAAATTTCAGATCTAGATCTTCATTTAACAGGTATTGGGTAAGTTTTTATAAACTAAAACCTCTGATTTTTTTATTATCCATACCATAGAGAATTCATTTTTATACAAAAATACTATTTTGGCTCATCCAAAACTCATAAATCCAAAATAAAATCAGGGAAAACAGGGGTGAGGGATTGGGCGAGATGATACTCGCCTTGGGTGTTTACAAAAGCCCTAGATCTGCAGGAGGTTGATCCCCCACGCTGCTAATCCAAAATCTTGCTGAAAAATCCTCCAGATCTCCTCCTAAGCACCAAAACCAGCTAGGGTTTGAGATTTGAGAGTTGGGGGCTAGGGTTTTACGTTAGAGCTGAAGAGAGGCTCTCCTGGGTTGAGTTGGTATATATACTAACTCTTTAACCCGACCCGAAACCAAAAGACCCGAAACAGAAACCGCAAAGAAAAACAAAACCTGAAACTCTCTGTGTGCTGATCGGTCGACCGCACCGGTCGACCGCCACGGTCGACCGCGTCGGTCGACCGCTCAGCACAAAAATGCTTCTGTTCGGCTTTTCACATGATGATCTTATACCACTCGATTTCTCTCACTTGTATACACCTGCTGGGTTCCCAAACACTGATAAATATATACATTTGATATATATACATGATTATTCCTCATAAGAGAATTATTCACTATTAATAATTCACATATATTTATTATAAAATTTTCGGGGTTTTACAGAAGATGATGCACCTGATCCTATTGTAAGTTTCTTCTTCTCTTTTTTAAATCATTTTGGATTCCTTTTCAGTGACAGCTTAGTTAAATATTTTATAATTGTGTTTGCCTTCTCTCCAAGGACCCACTGCACATGCTTTAGTAATCTTATATTCTATCTCACTGCACCTCTTTAAATAGTCAAATTGAATCATTCTTAATAGTAAAACATTTTCTTGAATTCGTATAGATTAACACGTGGAATGGACTTTGTGACAGAGTCTTTCATTAAAAGTGCTTAAATCCTCCTCTGTTGAGTGAAGATAGTAAAGTCAAAACTTCTAAAATTTCACGTTCTTTTGATGTTTCAGATAGAAGTTAGCCCTTCTCACGTATTTGATATTATGCTGATTGTTTTTTCCAGTTCCTCCAGGCGATGAAGGTTGGTTATGCCCAGCCTGTTGTTGCAAGATAGACTGCATTAAATTATTAAACGAGCTTCAAGGAAGTAATTTATCTATTAAGGATACATGGGAGGTAAGTAATAAGTGACAGTTGCTTTTCTTGTCCTCGCAGATTTTTTGTGTGCAGAATCCTTTGTTTTATCCTTCTTGCAATCCGTTATAGGGACCATGAAATTCTAGCTGAAAGGATTTTATTATTTATGTGCACAAAGTATTTCCTGAGGTAGTTGCAATGACCAATGAAGATAAAAAACGTGATGACCTGCCATCAAATGATTCAGAAGATTATGATTATATATGGCTCAGATGGTTCAGAAGTTGATTTTGAACGATCGGGCTATACTTCCTCTGAGGATGATTCAGATGATGATGATTTTGATCCTAATGATTCAAATGTCGATAAAAGTGTTCCTAAATATGGATCAAGTTCAGATGAATCAAACTTTAAATCAGATTTTGCTAAGTTCTGTATTGAACTTAGAAAAAATTTACATGCTAAGAATGATTCTGCACCCTCTGTGCGAAACTTGAAGCCTATTGCCAACTCTAGTGAAGGAACATGCACAGTAGACATTTGTAACTCTTAGATTCCTTCTGTTCTGGAACCAGGATTGGACCAAGAGAATTTGCTAACATCAGGAAAACGGAATCTCGAAAAATTTGAACTCAAACATTTGTCTGATGTAAGTTTTCCTTCCATAGATATGCTATATAGGTTTGCTATTGCTCACAGATCGGTGTAAGATTCTTGCTGATGCTCATTTTGATTTTTCATCATCATTTCTGATGCAAATTAATTCTTGGACAAACCTTAAAAGAAAACAATACAAGTGTCATTGGTTAGGTTATTACTTTTAGGATAAGCATTAACCTTGCATGGTAATTGCTTGAATTCTAAGCAACTTTTCATTAGTTTAATTAGGAAGATATGGTTATTTTTTAGCCAAATTCACAACCTTTTGTTTTCTTTTGTATAAATTTCAGGTTTACAGGGTTTGGAGGTCCAGTTCATTATCAACACGTTGAAGATGTGGCCTTTCCTATTGATTTCAGGTTTACAGGGTTTGGAGGTCCAGTTCATTATCAACACGTTGAAGATGTGGCCTTTCCTATTGTACAGTTTATATAGAAAGGTGGATCTTATTTCAACTACTATATGGTGAGGATTTAATGTACTATGTATTTGTGTTTCATCGATGGTGAGGATTTAATGTACTATGTATTTGTGTTTCATCGAAATACTATGTTTCACAAGTGTGACTTTTACTTACTTGCTTTTTACTATGTATTTGTGTTTCATCGAAATACTATGTTTCACAAGTGTGACTTTTACTTACTTGCTTTTTCATCGAAATACTATGTATTTGTGTTTCATCAAAATACTACGTTTCATCAAAATACTATGTTTTCAGCATCATAATATTTTTCTTCCATGGGATATCTGATCTAATTTCTGAGCTATTGAAACAGTCTATGATTTAGCTAATTTTAATTGATTTGCTATTGTAAGAGGAAATGCTAAGTGATTACTGTCAATTACTTCATGACTAAATGACATACCTTTAATAACAGTGAAAATACCCGCTTTTACCTTCAGCTGAGTTTACACAACCATTAGCTGTGTATGTACCCCAGATTCTACTGAAGATGTTGTCTTTCCATGTAAGGTCTGTTTAATTGCAGCAATCGATCTTAACATATTCTAGAGCAAATAATTTAGTGATGTTGAGTATGCTTTGTAGACCCATATGTTCTTGCATGCCGTCGTTGGTCAATGCTTTCTGATCAATGGTGTTGATTACTTTTGCTAACAATTTTGAAGTGGATGTTTCCGAGAATCTTCCGAGTTCACAGTTCAGAGTTCCCAACTAACATCTGTTGTCATATTCTCATTCCAAATATTTTGTTCTTTCACAATGTTAATTGGATGTTACATATTTTATAATCTTATGAATGTCTACAATAATTCTTGAAGCTTCCCAAGTGTCATTTCATAGGCGTTTCAGGTCACTTTTTAACAGAAATATCAAGGATCTTTAAACTATTCTTGAATCATCCAGTTTTCAAGTAATCTATGATGGTGAGTAATGTTATTGCAAAGTCATAAAGGTTAAAAGAATCGGAATATAAGCATTTTTGGATGTCAGATGACTCTGCATGTGCCTCGTAATTCATAACCATCTTTGTAGATTACATACCAAGGAGTTTTTTTGTGTTTTTAGTACATTTTTCATGCACATCTTCATTGCAATTTAAAACTTTTTAATACGCACACACATACAAACATGAGTAAACAAGGCTGGTTTGTCCCTCCACACACTTAGTTGATGTGTCACTAACGTGGTGCACATCTAGGATGTCAGCTATGAACTGGATAGGCTGATGGTTTTGCCTGTAGGGGTTTGGATATACGCACGTCTGCATGCCCCAGCTAACTGTGTAGAGGCACATAGACCCCCGTTTACTGTTTCCCCCTCTCTCTACATACATACAGTATGTATTTATAGTTTGCGTTATCTTGCTCTAATTGCTGAGCTTTTTTCTACAGGGAGAAAAAGTACATTGAAGTAATGAAGCATAAATAGTAATGAAGCATATGGATTCCTGTCAGTAAATAGTAATGAAGCATATGGACGGTTAGATCGTGAGATTTCTTTGGGTGTACCTGATGAAAAAACCACTGCTAGAGATCCTGTCAGTTCTTACTCGAAAATGTAAATGTGTGTTTTGGAGAGAGTGGAGTCAATGAGATATAGTTTTATATAATAATTAGTCCTTTTGAACTTTGAAGTGTTTCATAAAATTTCAAAATGAGTATTGCATGATTGCAAGGTTAGGTGATCAATGGATTCCTATCATTCAATTGCATTGCAAATGAGAATGGTTTTGGTTGGGATATTCACATGAGTTGGGAAGAGAAAAAACTGAAAATATGTTGTTTGTGTAACTGTCTTGGCTGAATCCTAAGGTACAAGTTCAGGTGAAAATAAACTAAACAATATGATGCTTTTGGAATATGTCATGGTATCTGTAGAATTTGATTTTCATTAAAGTAGAGTATTACCTTATGTAGAGTATTTTGGAATATGTCATGGTATCTGTAGAATTTGATTTTCATTAAAGTAGAGTATTACCTTATGTAGAGTATACAATTAAGTAATTAACTATGATTTAAATTTATCTACAGGGAAGTTCATGTTGTTATCAGTCACTTTCCAAGGGTTAACTTCATGACCGCTATAATTCATCAATCATAAGAGAAACACAGAGTACAGTCAAAAGATTTTGCTTGGATTTACATCCACATCTTCAAACATTACTTTTAGGTATATTCTTGTTATTGTATTTTATTGATCAATCACCTTGTAGATGCAACCACTCTGCTATCGCATAACTGATCCTTAAATATAAATGTATTATTTAAACATTTTTAATTTTTAGCTTATGTTCATATATATTGTGTACATTCATTAAATTTATACCAAATCTTTCCATAAATATAATTATAAGTTAAATTAATATTAAAAATTTTACCACGTGCATTGCACGTGTAATCCAACTAGTATCGTAAATGCATATAGAAAATTTTGAATAAGTAACGTTTGATTAAAAAAAGGAATAAGCAATGCTTTAACTATACGCATAACTCACACTAAGTAATAGATATTTACCTGGAGTCAAACAATATTTTGTGAGAAGCTTTAGTAAATAACACTACAAGAAATCTGATATTTAATGACCAAAATTAGTGAAGGGACCAGTTGATCGTCATTAATGTGTGTAAACTAACGACGGTTTTAAAGCCCTTCATCTAGTTATCATAATTATTAAAGTAATGATGTGAGATGGGATAACAGTTTTCTAATCCCTTCGTTGATTTGGTTCTAATACCGTCGTTATTGGGCCTCCTAAAAGACGAAGGAGTCAATTACCTTTACTAATCATAACTCCTAATCTTAACTAGAATATTATTGAATATAATATAAAAAACCCAAAACCCAAACCTCCAATTAACTGCAACTAAAATAAACTAAACCCTAATTAACAAACTTTATCGCCTCCTGTTCATCTATTCAACGACTCCACGCTGCCTCTGTTTCAACCCGCCCCCGTCGTTTTACGCCTCTGTTGAAACTCGCCGCCACTGTTCATCTATTCAACGCCTCCGTGCTGCCTCATGTTCATCTATTCAACTCCTCGCCCGCAGCCCCAGAGTCTCCCGCCGACTCATATCATCGCCCGTCGCTACCTCAATGCAGCCCTATAGTCGTCGCCGACTAAGCCTCACCCCCGCGCCTCAACGCAATCTCTAGATTCGCCCCACCGTGGGCCTTATCCTAGAACCACCGCCGCATCATCCTAGCGCCACCCCACTGTTGTGTTTTCCCAAAGTTCGACGGTAAGGAACAAATCCTTGTTTGGTTTAATTTTCACTTAAGTACCTATAGTTTCCCCTACTTTGCAATTAATATACCATTGTTTTGTTTAATTGCACTAAAGTACCTATAGTTGTATACATATCTTATACAACTTGTAATTAATTCACTGTATATATTGCAATTAATATACCTTGCAATTAATTCCTATAGGTGTATCCAATTAATATACCTTGCTTAGGTAAAAATCTATTTTTTATGTTGTACAAATTTCACTCAAGTACCTATAGTTTACCTAATTGCAGATGTACCCTATAATTAAATGCATTATATAGTTTTTGTTTGGTATAATTGCACTCAAGTACTCTATAGTTTCCCTCACTTGTATTTGACAGCAATTTATACAATAAAGTTTTAAAAATTTGCAATTGTGTACAACTTGTTGTATCAGTGTGTGTGTGTGTGTGTAAAAGCTTGCATTTAAATACCCAAAAGTTTTTAAAACTAACACTGTAATACCCTCCCTATGCAAATTTGAGGGTATTTAACTATAAATTTTAAAAGTTTGGAATATTGAAGATCCACTTTTATTAACTTTACATTCATTTAGTGTAACTTGCATCACATTGTTTCGCATCAGTTCCAATAAGTCAATCAATACTCTAGAAAAACTGATAGCTAAGCATAGCAATTTACATTAAAAAAGGTTAATGTGAGATCAATAATAAAAATTTCATCTGAGAAAACAATGCATCTGAAGCTTTCCTTATTAGAAAACTATTAGAATTATTCCTAAGCTGCTTAGGTGAAGGGAGATGTTTTTTCGCCCATAGCTTCTTAATTTCAGGTACATTTCTAGAACAAACACTCATATCTATCATCACCTCCATAAACCCATCCGTAGCTGTTTGAAAACTTTAAACAGGTGCTTTAGAATGTGTCTCTCACTAGCATTTATCAATTTCCAGTTATCCCAGCAAGACACCATAAGGATCTTCTAGAAGTAGCTTCAATTTTAGGCTAATTAAGAAAATGAAAGATTACCCATAAAGAGAGAATTTTCACTAATAATAATAATAATCTCATCATCATGACATCATATAAGTCTTCTTCTAGAACATTTTTAACTTAAGAAGATACCACAGGAAGATTTATTAGCAATGAGCCTTCAAACCTAATCTAGACTGCAAGATGGTTGATGGTTGAAAACTTATGAATGTGGAGATATGAGCAAGGGAGTTATGAAAAAATATAGGTAAGCAAAGCAACATCACTTTACCCCATGTGATTACGGAAACATTATAAATTTAAACGACCATTAACATAAGCAGAGAATAAAAACATACAAGACGATGGTGATTATACAAGAAAGCTCAGTCACAGTCTAGACAAATGTTTATATTAAAAAATAACTCTGAATTCCACCAACAATTATTCTGTAATAGTTATCTATACACTTTACCTGCCTTTTTGTGATATGGATAGGGATATGGCAATGGTATTGATAGCTGAAGGTGCAGAGTATGTTCAGCGGCAATGGCATTGCATTAAGCAACACATGAAGAAATATTGGTTAAAATTGAGTCAAGCTTTATACTTTAATCAATTTTACATAAAAAATTTATTAAATTTAAGGGTATACTCATCTTTCTCTCCAAGTTACTATTCCTATTATTGGCATCTGGCTAACATCCTATTCAATTTATATCCAAATTAGTCCGTACGAAATATGAATATTGAGTACTATATTCAGCAATATCTATCCAGATTTTCCTGATAAAATAGAACAAATACAAATACAACGTTAACTATATACGTGTTGTGTCTGATGTAACAATCACCCTAGTGCATGTCCTAGACAAAAGATATGAACGAACAAAGGAGAGGAGGGAAGAGAAATACAGTGCAATCCAGCACACTTATGCCGTTATGATTGGCCTACCGTTGAAGCTTCCACCTTAAGGCTTAAGCCGGTCATGTAGGCCTCTTGGGCTAGTCAGCTACTCCATCTTCTATTGATTATCTGCTTATTACATATACAAGAATATGCATGCTATACAGCAAGGTACTTTTGAGAAATGAACCCACTAAGAACTAATATGTTGCTATTTGTTTCCTTCTTTCATTTGAAGCTTGTCCACGTTCTATTTAATGTTTCTACAAAAAAGAATAATATGACTTCAAAACTAATATAGCATATGTGGTATTTACTTAAGTTACATGAATTTCAAATGATTATTTCTTTAGCTATTCAGACGTACTTGTCAAGCTTGGACATACCACTTTCCATTAACAAGTCATTTTATTAGTTATAATCATAGTTTCTATGTCACATGTGCTTTGAAAGGAAAATGAGTTTTTTTACTAATTTGTTTTAGTTACTAATTTGTTATTTGGTAACATTTAATCATGTGAAATAAGATTTGTTATTGTAGAGTGCATGTATTTTTCATACCAAAATATTTAAGAACTTGAGATAAAGACATGTGAATTAATGTTATTTGCAATCTTGCATGATGCCTTATTGACTATGTTTTCTTAATGCATTACACCAATTCAAATGTTGTGAGGGTGTTTTTATATATGATCCACATTGACCAATAATTGCATAAATAAATACTTTCTGAATGACACCATATATAGGTTAACTTCTTTGCATTAGAATGACCCTATATCTGAACATATGAGTCTCTACATAAAATTAAGCATTTCTTTGTGTTTAATTTTTGAAGAGGTTGAAATATTTTTCAGGAAATTTTAGTACATTGCTTGAAATGGCACCGAATAAAGATTAGATGGACCTAGTAGATGATGATAAACTTGATCCAAAATATAAAGAAGGGGTTGATAAGTTTTTAAACTATGCATATGAGAAGCTGTTGGATAGTTTTAATGAAAAGGATGAAGACTTTGAAATTTGATGTCCATGTGTTAAATGCAACAATGTGAAGTTTGGTAATTGTGAGTCGATAAAGACCCACTTGATTGTTCATGGAATTATTAAAAACTATAGATTTTGGTGTCATCACGGCGAAAGACAGGGTGAGATAAACTTGTTATGCTAGCAGCTTGTTATACTTTATCCTAAGAAGAGCAAAGAAAATTTTGTCGATTTCTAAAAGAGTTAAAAGTTCCAGATGGATTTTTATCCAATATTTCTCAATGTGTAAACCTTAAAGAGCATAAGATTTTGGGGTTAAAGAGTCATGACTGTCACATCCAATATTTCTCAATGTGTAAACCTTAAAGAGCATAAGATTTTGGGGTTAAAGAGTCATGACTGTCACGTTCTTTTGCAGCGCTTGATTCCTATATCGATTCGTGGCCTTCTTCCTGCAAAAGTGTGTAAACCAATTATTGAACTTTTCATATTCTTCACTATATTATATGCCAAGGCATTAAGGGTGGATGAACTAAAGCAAATTGGTGAGCAGCTTCCACTTACGTTATGTAAGCTTGAGAAGATTTTTCCACCTTTAATTTTTGATG